TTGTCGCGTACCCACCGGGACACTCAGCATTAAACTTACCTGGAATCGTTTCTCCCATCACCCAGTTCCGTTCTGTCATAAGGCGGCTTGATTTGGCATCCTGCTTTGCCCACAAATATGTTTTGGGCAATTGAAGGGAAATCCACCTTTTCAAGCACTGCCACAACACGGTGACGGTGGTGAAAGGATCTTAAGATATCACTTATTGGTGTTAAGAGGGGTTGCGTGGGTGCTTTGAAGCACAGGCCCGTGGGAACACAGATCAAAGTACTGTATTCTCCCAGTTCATCCCAAAGAGCCACCTTCTCCCAGTGCTCCAGCAAGGAGTTGTTAAGGCACTCACAGGAGTACAGGAAACCTCAGCAAAGCGCAGCCCCGGAAACCTGTCCCACCAAGCTAGCCCAGACAAAGGAGGACAGAAACCCGCCAGGATCAGGCAGGGAGACGGCGGTTCTTGCCCTGCCTGTCCTCCTCGAGATCCAGGCCTCTCTCTCGGCCCCCGTGCATACCTGCCCACCTGGGCACAAAGGAAGAGCTGGCAGGAACGGCTGCCTTTGCTCCCGGAGCAGCATTAATTCCTTCCCTCGTGCTCAGCCCGGGGAGAGCGAGGGCATTGGGGGCCCACTCCACCGGCTGGAAATTGCATCAAAAGCACTAAGAGCTATAGAAAATGTGATTTGATGCACTTTAAATTAATACCATCTCGTTTTTCTTCTCTCAGACCAGAGGCTTGGCTTCCCGGGACAGGGGAATGGGGATCCCGGCCTGAAGGGGGGAGCCAGCCACAGCGGGCGAAAAAAAGAAAGCTTGCATTTTTCCCCCTGGAAAGACTGAAATGGAGAGCTAGCTCCGTTCCCTCCTAGGCTCTCCGGCCAAGCTAGAGAAACGTATTCCTAGGGGGCCCTCGGCTCCCCAGCCAAGCACCTTTGCCAGAGAAAGCCACTGCTGTTGCTCTGGCCAGAACATTCCTTCTCCGGCAGGCTGAGGCGCTGCTGAACCAGAGAAGAAAAACACATTGTAACTTCAAACAGAGCCAGCACGCTTCGACAGAAACCTAGGGGGAGAAACCATTTTCTGCCCAGCCGTACAAAGCCCTCACTGAGTGGCCGCGGATAGGGGGTCCCCCTCCAAGCCCCTCCACTGCCCCCCACTCTTGCACTCCCTCTGCAAAGGAACTGGACACCCCGCAGCACCCTTGCAGGTCAGCTTATGACATTTGTGTAGGGCAGTGAAGCAACACAATGCCACAGAGCCTCACTGTGATTTTTTTAAAATGCCAGACGAGTCAAAAAACTGTGCGCGCGCGCACACACACACACACACACACCCCGACCACAAAGTCCCAGGGCTCACGGGTCGAGGCAAGGAGGTAACAAAACTAGCTCGGAGTTACACATTTTTGGCACCCAAACTTGACAAGGCAGAGTGAAGTGACGAGATCCTCGGTTACTAAGCAGCTGCGGTTTATACAGAGTGCGTGCGCATGGATTTATGGCTGCTGTGGATTTATTATTAGCATTAAAAGTAATGTATACACTAGATTTACAGTAACTGCTCCAGTGCTACAACTGCGCGTCAGGAAGCAGCTTTGTGAAAAGCTTTTCTTTTCATTTTTTTAAGTGGGTACCTGTACAAAAAAAAAAAAAAAAAAGGGAAAAAAAAACAGCCAAAGAGGATGAAAAAGGAAAAAATGCAAGTGCAAGACACTCCTGCTGGTTTAAGGGACAAGCAACCTCGATCCATAAAGTGAAATCACAGCAGCTGCCATAGACACACTCCATCAGTTTACACAGAGTCCGACTGGAACAAAAGCTGGATAAAGCAGCGTGGGTTAGAAAGCCAAACTTTGGAACCGTGCCCCTGCGCACGTTCATAGCCTCCAAATTGGCACCTCCAACACAAGCTTTCGCAGAGCTCAGCTGTATTGCTGGACCTTTCCATATTCTTCAACTTGCCCTTCACCGCTTTTTCACCTGGGACAACAAGTTTGGCCCACAAACCCCGACCCTCACGGATCTGTTACTGCCATCAACCCACTGAACAGGGCAAAAGGAAGAATTCAGGTCTGCCTCCCAACATGTCAGCTTAGACGCAGCATTAAAGCAATAAGCTATGGAACAGGTCATACCCGTACACACGCCAACCAGGGAATGTAGCAGAATCAGGACAAAAACAAGGCCGTATAAAGTAGGAGGAGGAGGAGAAAACGCCAACACCAGTTTTAGAAGTGCAGTGTGTTGTATTCACAGAGACAGCAAACACTTGGGAGTAGGGAGAATTTCAGATGTTCTTTGCCGTAAGAGCTAGGACGAGTGCTCTTTGCACGCCCCAGGCCCAGATAACAATGAGGAAAACTCTTCTTTTCCAGCACTCTGCCAGCCAGGCACAAACAGAAGGGCCCTTGCAGGGAAATGCTCTCACAGGCCCGAAAATATCTGGGGGGAGGCATCTCTAGTCTACAAAGGGGGTGCCAGCGCTGAAGCCTCATCGCCCCGTTGACTGGATGCGTAGAGAATGTGTTCTTTCTAGACAGAAAGAAAGAGCTCCAACGTGACTCTGTGCAACGGCCAAGGTAATTTGGAAGCATTTTTCTTTTCTTTCTTGGAAACTCTTAAGTTACAAGACAACTTGGAAGAAGTGAAGAAAGTTCCTTTCTCTCTGCCTGGTCTCCAGCCCTGCCATGCACAAGCGAACGGGCGTCCATTTCACCACAAATGCAGTGCCTTTGCTACCCTTGAAAAAGAATGCATCTGGGAAAGAAAACTTGAAGCCAGTGTCAAACAGGGAGGGAAAAGGAAGAATTCAAAAGCGTGGTTTGAACGTATCCCAAGCAAAACAATACTGATACTGAAAGGTTTAACGATGTTTTCTGTGAACAGCGAGATATGTTTGATGTATTTCAGAAAATTCCCACAAACCCAATTTTAATATAGCAACCTTCCATGGCGGCGGTGGTGTGCAACCGGAGAATACAAGCTGAGCTTTAAAAACTGGTTCCAGGGCCTGATAATCCATCAAATATGTTCACGAAAGACATCTTAAAACCTGTATTACTGCTGTTCAACATGTTGAAGGCGTGCTTTCAACTCTCCTGTTTCCTGTGTGGCACTGGCTTTAAGGTTCAGCTTCACACAAAGAACAAGATGTGCCAGGAGATTTTCTGAGCTGAATCTGATGACCAGCACCTTTTCCGACAGCAATGCTCACTGGCATGCATCCTTCAAGCCACTAATGTTTAAAAAATTTCCATCAGCACTGTAAGAGGCAAAGAGAGACCACCACCATCTTGACCGCTTCCGTTTAGCATGCAACGGAGTTAAAACTGTGTTCTCCCAGTTCTTGAAGGATCAACCCGCTGGATTTCAGCAAGGCTTGTGAGCATCACCATCTCTGCTGGCCTTCTGAGTGAAACAGAAGGGAGAAGAATCTGAACTTAACTGCGTGTATAAGAGAGGCCAGCAATAAAACTATTGCTGTTTTGGTGGGGATAAGATAAGTATTAGGAGAAACAGTCTCCATTTGGAACGTAAGCCCCCCTGCTTCAAGTAAATGACTCTGTACTTTACAGAAGTGTCCTTTGGACTTGAAATGGGAATGGGAGGGAGCCAGGATAGAGAGAGAGCCATGGCACAGACCATCTCCAGGTAGCCCAATCTGAACTTTCACTGGCAGAAAAATCCGTTCATTTGTCCTCTCCATGCTACAAAGATCAACAATGAGAATGAAGTCAGGAGCTTTCTTCAACAGCTTCTATTTCTGAGGTTTGCTTGCAACTCACAGGAGCATCAGAAGTAAGTATAATTTAAACACAAGCATCTGAATTTGTCCTATTTTTGTTTTAAAGCCCAGGATAAACTACTTGATTTGCTTCACCTATTTAATGTAGGAAAAGTAGCAGCGCTCCTCATTTCTCCCTCATTCTGGTCTGAACACACCATGCCCTGCTAAGTGCACAGTAATCTACCCATTTCATAATTTGAATTTTAAGTAACAGAGAAGTCTAGCGTTGCTCATGGTTGAAATACAGTAAGCCAATGATGCACAGATAATGCCAACAGATTGAGGCCTCTCTCTCACCTGCCACTTACAGCGCGATCACCTCCGAAACCTAACGAATGCATCACTCTACCACCCACACAATGGGAAGCCAACTAATTGCCTCGGTCCTGGACTGCTAGCCTGCCTCCTTCCTTCCTTCCCTTGCACCCTTTATAAGCTAGCTGTTTAATACTGTGTCACAAAGCAAAAGCTCGTGATTATGGGAGGATGGGGCCCTCCCCAGTGCCTCTCTTTGCACGGGGTCAGGAAGCGAAACCCGAGTGCCCATTCGCCTGCAAGAACCCAGAAAGCCCAAGTAAACTAGAGATGGGATTTGGCTGGATCTCTGGCCAAGCTTCACATTTGCAGGAGCCTCTCCCGAGATCACTGCTTTGACGGGTGCTTCTTGCAATAGGGCTGCTAAGTCCACGGAGCAGAGGAAAAGGAAAGAAATGCTCAAGTATGGGGTGCTCTTGGGAATGTGTGGGGGGGGCAGCCACTGCCCATCCCCAAAAGACAGACAATGGCCTCTTCTCAGGCATCTGTCCTAGACAATGGCTACGCATTCTTGAGCATGTATATGGACACTGGACAGCATTTACCTCTGGAGGTCACCCCTCAGTCCAAAGTAGGCTATACTGATGGAAGGGGAGAGGTAAGGGAGATGTCCCTCTCGGGGAAGGAGTGAGGCGCTGCCATTCCCAGGGGGTTCACCCACAACTCCCTCCCCCCACACACATGCACACAAGCAGAATAAATGCGGGGTCTGATTGACGTCTGGGCACTCACAATGCGACCCCACGCACGTCCACTCAGAAAAAAAGTGCTGCTCAGCCCCATGGGACTTACTCTAACGTAAACGCGCGCAGGGATCAGTGCGCGAACAGCGGAGACTTGGGCGATTTTCCGCCCAGGGTCGGGCACGGCCCCCCCACCCTCGGCCTCCCCTTCGCGGCTCTCACCTTCCAAGGCGCGGCCGCCGCCCGGCAAGACGAGGAGCAGCAGCAGCACCGGGAGCAGCAGCTGGGACGCCCCCGGACGGGCTGCGGCCATCGCGAGGCCGAAGCCCGGCGGGGCAGCGACACAATCCCGAGCTCCGGGTGGGCTCGGATCTCGGCGCCGCTGCTGCTGGCGGCGGCCGGCGGCGGCGGCGGGGAGCGCAGGATGCGCCTCCGCTCCTGGCTCCGAGTCTCCCAGCTTTAAACTCCCGCGATTACACTCCTCCGGCGTCGGTCTGGTACTCCGGCCGAGTCCGAGCTCGCTCGCTCGCCCGCCTGCCCACGGGGGCTCGCACTCCGCGCGAGAGAAGCGTCTCCCTCGCTCGCCAGCCCTGCCGCTGGACGGAGCCCCGCGCCTCGGAGCTGAGCTCCCGCCTCTTGCCAAGCGGATCTTCGACGGGCTTTCCCCAACTGGTGATCCTCCCCAGAGACTCGCCGGTTCCGAGAGGTCGAGCCGCCCGGGGTAGCCCAGCCCACGCCGCGTCTTCTCGGCTGGGTCCGGCGCGTTTGCAGCGGTCCAGGCCGGTGCCGCTCAAGGGCTTATCCAGCCAGACATGCCGCTTTGCTCAATCCGGGACAGTTGCAAACCGGACCGCTCGGGGGCAAAAGCGCCGCTGATCCTGCGGTCGTTCCGGGCCAGTCCCGCTGCGGGCTTCTCCGGGCCCTCGTGCACGGTCTGGACTGGCCCGATCCTGAGCGCCGGCGGGGCTGAAGCGCCGATCCCTGGGAGGCTTGGAGCGGTCCCGGCCCCGAGTCCCGCGCCTTCGCCCGGGCTCGTGGGAGGCTTCCTCCGCCGCGGTAGGTCCTTCGCCGTGCACAGACCGGGAGGCTGCGTGCACAGTGGCTGCCAGCGACCCCCGAGCTCCGGACGCAGCTGGCCCCGGCCGCACTCCGGAATCCTCTCGCAGCCGCGCACGCTCTCGCACTGGGGGTACCAGCACCACCGCGGCGGCTCAGACCCAGGGGGCGTGGCGCAGCTGCCCATCACGCGCCCGAACGCGCCCCTGGCAACCTGACGCCCACTCGGCGCGAGAGAGAGACTGGGGGCACGCCCCTAACAACGCTAAGCTCCCCGCTGATTGGGTGGCGGGTTCTCGGTGGGTTGCCGCCTTCGAAGGCGGGGCTCGGGCCAAGGGGCAGGGCTCTAGTGAAAGTTGAATTGGAAGAGGCGGGGACGCTACGCCAATCAACGGGAGCTGTCTCCGCCCTTTTTCTTTTCTCATCCACCCCCATTGGCCAAGTAGGAGCACAGCGAGGAGAGCGCTCCACCTAGTGGCTGAGAGTGGAATTATCCACCCGTACAGCTCTTCCACTCCCATTCATAGAAGAAGGATGAAAGAGGAGGGGGAGGGGGAAGAGATCAATCGAATAAACTAGAGTTGCCTTCCTCAACCTGGCACCTCCCAGTTGCGTTGGACTGCAACGTCCATCATCCCCAGCCAGCCAATGGCTGTGCAGCCTGGGAGGTGATGGAAAAAGTAGGCCAGCACATCTGACAGGCATCAGGTTGGGAAAGGGAAGAGTCGGAAGTTGTTCCCAAAGAAAGGAAATGCGAGGCTGAATTGGGCAGATGTGATCTGGCAGCCGGTTCCTCGGGTGTGCTGTTGTTGTGAGTTCCCCTGCCGATGCTCGTCAGCCATCCCGGCCAGGCAGGTATGAGCTGGAGCGGAGAGCACACGAGGCTTCCCCATGTTTGCATTTCAACACAGGTGCAAGAAGCCCCCCGCCCCCCACTCCTTAGGAAAGCATCGTAGGGAAGAGTCCCCTTCCACCGTTCTCCTGGGGAGGCAGTAGCACAAACTGCAAGCCTCGTGCCAGTTCTGTGCACCAGCAAAGGACCGGTGAGTGTGGAAGAAGTGCTGTCAACTTGGTGTGTGCTGAAGGAGCGTGCACAACGCCCCATGTGGAAGCATTGTGGGAAACATGCTTAGCCACCTTCGGTCTATCCAGCCCCTGACCACACTAGGCTTCCAGGCACTGTTCTCTCCTTGTGCTCCCCGGAGAAGCTGAAAATCATAGCTGGAAAACTGTGCCACTGGGACACAGCCCCTCCTTCCGTACCAGATCAGCACTTGTCAAGTCTCATCACTTCTCCATCTAGTCCCAGGATAGGTCATCTAGTGACCTCCAAATGTGGGGACTGCAATTCCCATCAACCCCACCAGCATGGGCAATGGAAGTTGTAGGCCAACAGGGTACCAGGCTGTAGGAAGCTGTTCTGGTCATCTTTTCAGCAGAAGAGAATGCCCCGGGACAGCATGGATAAAACAGAATTAAATAGGAGTAGAGTTCAAAGGGTCCTATAAGGCCATCAGGTCTAACCCCAGTTCTGCTTCCACATGGAGTCCCCCATTCGGCTGCAGGCCTGCACCTTTCCAGTTTAGCAAAAGTGACTTGACAAGCAAGCTTGATGGATAGCTATGCAGGCAGGCCTTTCCAGCTGGGAAAACTACCCTGTACACGCTCAGAGGCAAGATCACATGCTTACTGCATTGGTTCCAAGATTAAACTGACTCTAAAGTACAATGCCAGGGATTGGATTTTAGGCCCTGTCCTTGTCCAAATTTAAATCCTGCCCAGAAGTCCATCTCTGCATCATAAATTCCTGGTTTTTGCTTTTTCCCTATTTTACATACAGCCACAACTGTACAGGGATGGCAGGTTCCAAGGTAACATAAACAAAAGACTGGCCTCTGCCTTGAGGCACTTGCAGTATAATTGCAGCCTATGAAGTGAGGAGGGAAATATTACGGAGTGAGAGGACAGGCAGGAGAGAGAAAAGCGAACCAAGAGAAGATGAAAGGAAAAGCTATTCTATTCCAGTTGTGGACTGAGGGTTCCACTTCACCTTGGGGAAAGGGGAATGTAGTTATCGAATGGTGGAGGGAAAAGTACCCTGCACATGCTCAGAGGAACTCCTCCGTTTTGTTCCAGGAGGAGACATGGTAAGCCAAGAGAAACTTTGAGGCATCTAGATGGCCAATGAAACCTGGGAGAAGCCTAAGGTTCCTCCCGCTGCAACTTGCCAAGCTCATCCTTGGACCAGGTTGACACAGCAGGTGGAGGAAATGCAACCCCACTGACACACGTCATCTGAATGTGGCTCCTCTGGCCCAGCTCCACCTGCTGCCCTGACAGATACTGGAAGGGTCTGCTGTGCTCTTCCCTCTTGCGCAACACGGACTTGCCCCACCTCTGCTGGCATGCATTGCTTTCTCCTGAGTGCATCAGCGAGAGAAACCGGGCTTGCTCTGATTCAGCCCCTGCTCCCTGAAAGCCAGGGCCAGGCAGATCCCATCTCATCCCCTTTTGATCCCCGATACCGAAAGTGTTTGTAAATCTCGTGTGAATCACTGTTCACGAGGCCTCCTCTGCTGTGGCTTTTTGGGAATGTGTCGTGACGGCAGCGGCCGGCAAAGCTCAGGCTAGCCCCCTGGGGCCATTGCTCCCCCGGAAGCCTGGAGCAGCATCGATCTCTGGCTGGGGGGGTGAGTGTGTTCGCTGGTCTAAGCTGCCCTTCACGAGGGGCCCAGAAACCCCGTGGAAAGATCCTGGAGGAGAGAAGGGGACTCACAACAGTGGTCCCCGAATATCGCAACCGCCTGTCATGCAGCAGAGAGAAAAATGGGCATGGCAAGGACAGGTGAGAGAAGCAGGTAGGACCTAGGCCTGTGCTACGCAGCAAGAGAAACTTGAAACGGAAGCTGTGGCACAGCAGTGGAACGGACCTCTCTGGGAGGTGGTGGGTCCTGCTTGGCTTGGAGGCCTTTCAGGAGCAGCGTGTCGTTTCAGGATTCCTGCACAGGGCAGAGGTTGGGCTGAGTGACTTTGCTGGTCCCTGCCAGCTCTTCTCTACGGTGGCGCCCCGGTTGTGGAACGCGCTCCCCAGAGAGGCTCGCCTGGCGCCAACGCTTCTATCCTTTCGGCGTCAGGCGGAAACCTTTTTATTCTCCCAGTACTTTAATTCTTTGTTTACTTATTTTATACTGTTAATTTTAATTTTATATTATTATGTTTGTATCTCAGTGTGATTTTTGTATTTAGTGGTAATTTATTATGTTCTATTGTATTTCAATGTATTTTATTGTGTTGTAAGCCACCCCGAGGCTTCGGCAAGGGGCGGCATAGAAATGTTATAATAATAATAATAATAATAATTGCTAATTTGTTTTAGTGGAGGGTTTATATTTTGACATTGGATGCTGGGCAATTGTTATTGTTTTTTTTTTTTTTTTTTTTTTTTTGGTGTGAGGGGGACTAATTTACTGTAAACCGTCCAGAGACTTTTAAGTATGGGATGGTATTGAAAAGTTTTAAATAAATAAATAACATGCTATCATCTCTCTCAGGCATGGGTAAGGTTTCTGGTGAGCACTGGTCTGGGGAGCTTGTGTGTATGGATTCCATTTCTGTTTCTCTGACCCATTTTCAGTTCTTGGTTTTTAAGGAAAGTGAGAGACAGAAAGAGAATAATGCCCCTGGTTGGCCAGACTGCCTTCTGTGAACTGGCCAATGGAACTTTACTTACACATACAGAATAATTTTCCTAGAAGAGCTATGTGGAATCCAAGGCAGCCTTCACGCTCCTCCTCCCCTCCCTTTGATCTTCACAACAACCCTGTGAGGTAGGCTTGGCTGAGAAGGAACGGCTGGCCCAAAGTCACCCAGAGAGCTTCGTGGCAAAGCGGTGACTAGAACTCAGGTTTCCTGAGTGCTGGCCCACATCTAATGCCACGCTGGAGATACCCTGGCATTTATTTATTTATTTATTTATTTATCTAAAACATTCCTGTGCCGCCCCCATCGCGACAAAGCCTCGGGGCGGCTCACACTGCCGTCATACTAACAGTGGCCTTGCCTTGGAACACGTGCCCGGACCAGCCCAGCGTCTTTCCCAAATGGGCAGCAAGTTGGTCTTGCTTTGCAACTGACAAATGACACCACCGTGTGGCATTTCGGCCTTGGCTCCTTTCTAGGAATCGCGTGCAGAGACCAAACTGCAGCCCACTCGGTTGCTTGAGAGTATCTCCCCCACCCCAACTTCTCCAGGGGGGCTGCCAAAGATGGAACTGCGCCTGGCCTTCTGGAAAGCGGCCACTGGGCGGCTGCTGTTCCTGGAGACCTCGCCCGTGGCCGGCTCTGCCGGGGGGCCCGGACAGCACCCGGAAGCCTGCCTTCATCGGAGGCGAACGGGAACCGCCCTGTCTCATCCATCTGCCAGGTGCCCGTGACGTGGCTTGCAGCCTGGCACTGCGCGAGTTCTGGGCACTTCCTTGCTTTCCTGCCCCCAGGTGTCAAGAGCTTTCAAAAGGAGAGAGGCCCGTCTTTTCATATGTCTCTGCACACAAGAGAGGGAGCAGGTCCTGCAAAGGCTGGGCTGGCGATCACCCAGCATCCAGATCAAGGAAATAGATCGCCTTAGAGTAGGACAAATGCATGTGGGATGCATACTGTGCAGAAATGCACATTTAAAAATATTTTAATTTAAAAAGAAATGCAATTTCG